ATTACTTTATTAGTTACTTACATAAATCATTAAATACTGCCATCAGTAAATGAATCATTGAAAGAAAGAACACGTAACTAATGAGTTATTACCGGTCCGCCATATTGATTTTGTAAGAGAAACAAACATTCTTGCTACATTACCTGGTTTTGTAGCAAGAATCATTTTTTCCTCTCTCAGTGCTGGTAATTTTACTTGGTTATGTACGCGTAACAAGGGAATTCTTTAAAGATTGTTATTTTAGTCGTTAATAAAACAATTAAACAACGTTTTCGACAATTGAACGTTCTATATTATAGGTACTATTTATTGGTTCATTAGCAGTAAATCTCCTAGTGAAAGAGTTCGTCCAGGGAAGTACTGCCACTTTACATTACCTTCAAGCAGTAATATGAGCATTACTGCTACGCGAGGGTAAGGGTGCTGGTGAAATTACGGGCGCATGAGATTTGTCAACTTATGTGTCAGGGTGATTGACAGGCGAAGTAACCGTGTTCCTCAGATCTATCTTCTTGCATGATTATGATCTTGCAATTTCAACTCTGAGTGGCAGTTATTATGATATCAAGTGACGGGATTCAATAAGGAAGGGACATTAATTAATAACTTTTGTAACTATAGTGAAAAATAAAGTGGTTCGCATTAATATTAGACATAACTGGTTGATGACTTTACCACCTCAGTCAACTATGGCCATGGGACCTACGAAGGGCCCGAATCGTTGGTTTGTTTGAAAAACAAATGTACGCGATTTAAATCCGGAAAAATAGTCTCATTTCTTACTATAGATATCTTAGGTTTTATCTCGATTAGGCATCAATTTAGTCTTAAAATTAAATGTATTTTTGTGTACCTATGATTACGTCATCGGTGTGCCATCGATTCGCCATAGAAGAGCAGTATAGCAAAAAAATGCAATGTCAGTTGTATAATAACTCGATGGCTAGCTACTACTGATACTCGCCACTGATACTCCATCGACACCACCGAGATGGTTACTTATCAGTAGATCAAAATGACATTTTCCAGAAATAACGTTTGCTCAAATTTTTATAACCTCGAAAGTAATTTTGAGAGGAAAATGTTTTTTTCGTTTCAACCTAACTTAACTCAACCTAACCGGACCTAATCGTGTCTTTGCGATAAATATCCAACATAACCAGAAAGAACAACGGTTTCGTTATAATTCGGTTTTCGGTGTAATGACAATTCGAACAAACGTTATTTCGGAAAAAATATCGAGTTTGTGATAGGTTACCATCCGGGATGATTTAAAATTAGCACCCTACCCTAAATTAATTTTGCGAATATTTTAATTAAACTCAAGTCTTTCCGAAAAATTTGCACTAAGCAGAGTATCACGTCTTCGAAATAGAAACTATAAATTCAACTTCAACCATCAAATGACGATCCGGTGTATACATAGATGTAGCTTATCATTTAATACACTTTCACCCAAAGTTTATGCAACTTAATTTATTACAAAGAGAAAGTATTCAAAAATAATTATTGTATGATAAGTTGTTGTATAGATTATGATATTATTAATCAGATGTCATTAGGAACAACTAAGTAGGTATGTATAGGTATAAGTTTTCTAAATATTTTTTTTTAATTTCTCATTGTACGTATCTACGATTTTAGTTCGTTACATTTCCCGCTTTTGGAATAAATTTTGTCATCAATTACGTCTAGAGATATGAATTTATGTTATGCGTTTCTAAACTATTTATAGGTAGTTATGGCCATTTTGAATTAAACATATTTCGTTTACATTTTCTCGATATAATTAAATCCCAATGGCCTTTGATTATTGACATTTCTCGTTTTATTTCACAATGTAAAGTATTTATCTACAAGTTTAGTGTTGTTATGTGGGGTAAAAATTTAATTAAATGTAGCAAATGATAACCGGATTTGATATACACTTCCGGGCGCATAATTCGAACCGCCACGCATTTTCAATATTAAGTGCCCTAAGCTTAAACAATGTTTTATTGATCAAAAAGTATTATGCAATTTTGAAACTAGTATACTAAACGTCGTTTCCAGAAGTCCTTATTGGGAATTTGGATTTGCAAAACCGGGGGAAAACGTTTTCTTTGATGATAACACTATTTTTGTGTTCTAGTCCTTTACGACAAAAATGCGAGGTGGCTCGAATTATGTGTCTGGGAGATATTTAAGTTTTAATTGGAGTATTTGTAAAAATGTTTTATTCCTTATTCCAAGCTCATTAAAGCTTATTCCAAGTCTGTGCAAGTATTGCCATTGCACTTACTCTCTCTTTCTCTCTCTTTCTCTTTGTCTCTCTGTCTCTATTTTATTACGATATTTTGGGACATAGAGTCCAAGTTGTTAAAAACATTTAAAATCGATGTAAACATAGTCGCAACTGATCGCAGTCGCATTTATAATACTGACTCCTAACGTGACATAGTCTAAGGTAATACAAAAGTAATACATACGTTCTACTATTTCAAGTGTTGGTCTACATAAAAGGAAATGTTGACCATTAAGAAGTGAATTGGACTCTCCTACGCAGTCTTTAATCGTTTTACGATCTATTGTGCGACGGCGCACTCTCCTTCTCATTTTGGATAGTTTGCCCGCAATATTAATGTTTAACTAGATATCAAGTTTTCGTGGTTTTAGTTTCATGTGTATATTTCTACATATACTGTACAGCGTCTTCAAGGAGTCGTGAATTAGATGAGACGATAATAAAGAAATAAGAGAAAAGCAAAATTTACTTCTATATAGGAACAAAGTCGGTGCAAGTTCGCCGATGTAAACATGTTAGTGTGCACGACTCTAGGAACTCTTCACTGATAAAATAAGACTTAATGACAATTTCTTGTCTGTGTTTATTTTTTAATATCATGATAGAGTCAATTCAAACTACAGAATCTAAGTTATGCGTATACATGTATTCTTGAACACAAATATAGTCGCCTAAGGGATTTGAAGATTTAATTCATATTAACGTCTAAAGTAGGTTACATGTGTATAGGTTCGTTTGTATGTATGTATGGAAGAGGTGAACGGCCTCTCGCTGTGGACGCTAGTCTGGAATGTGCTATTGCCAAACGCATTAATTGGAATTTACTGGAAAATCCATTGCGGAACACACTTTCAGCTCTGAGCTATAGCGCTAATTACCTACTCTTTTTACATTGTAAAATTCTCTGCGATTTGTTGATTTGGGGTTTTTCGTTGTTGAGGACCGCTTGCCATTAGGATTGCGTATGAAGGGACTAGGTACATATCATTGTTTCGGACAAAAAAATAGTTCTTTTGCAATATTTTCTTTTCAGAAAAATTTATAGAGACTGGTATCACATCAATGTGGTATCACAAGTACATTTACTCAAATATTTTGTATGCCCGTAAAAATATACATAATTTCATTAAGAAAGAATATATTCACAATATGAACCTTAGAACTAAGTCCAAACTCATGACACTACGATTTCGTTTAACTAAGATTATTTTATGGCGAACTGAATACGTTTTTACAATAAGATTTCGGAACATAGGTATATTAAGATTATAATTTTCTCAGTTTGAAACTTACATTAAAAGTATTTTTAATTAAAGTCATATTACGAAATTGAACGTTACTTGTTAGAGATAAAGATGTATGGAAAGACTACATGTTTCCACACAAATTTGATTCAAAGCGCATTATTTAGCATTTCAGTTTATGTGAAGAGACCAACCCCTAGACTTTTATATGCTCTTTTGCTCAGGGAAGAAACAAGTCCGAGACAACGAAAAAAGTACCATAATTTCACGGATGTTCGAGACACGGAGATACGAAAATAACGAAATTTTAAAGATTGCTTGAATAACACCTCATCTCCGCCCCTATTTAGTTCTTATCTCTGTATCTCTTACATTCCGTTAATTATTTTTTTTTTATATCTTAATGAGCCTTGAACTTGGTAGCAGAATAGTCATATAATGATCAAATTATGCAGACATAATGTTGCCTGGGCGAGAGTGTGAAACAGGTTGTCTTTGCTTACGCTTTTGAAAGTTTTCGACATACTACACCACTTAGGGAGCCCACTTCCGTATGGGTTATAATGAATTGGCAATTTTTAAGTTGGGTTCATATGTCAGTTGGTATTAAAAATATGTTACATCGCTTTTCTTGATGTTTCTATTATTATAATGTCCAAATCGAAATAAACAACATCAAAAATCCTGATCACAAAATTACCTTTTGTTTGGGCTGTATAACAACAATCGTCACAATCGTTTACTCTGTCGATTGGTGTACATGTCTTTAACGTATGTTAGCAAAGGCGGGCAAGCTTACTTTGTTGCTAGCAGTCGATATAGTTACATGTGATGAACTGTGATCGCCGATCTTTGACTCGTAATACAAAAAATAAAGAATTAGCCTAAAATTCTGCAATACGTACGATTGAAATCGAGTACTGTATCTAATGGAAAACGTTAAATGTTGCTTTTGGTGAATGTTCAATAAACAAAACAAAAGTGGCACAAATGTTAGGGCACGAAAGAATTCGAGTACCCAGAATGTCTCGAGACTTTGACAACCGATGAGACATCAAAAAGGTGAAAGAAATGGTTATAGGCAATCGCCGAATCACTGTCACGAAGGTTGTTGATATGCTTGGAAAATCATTTGGCTCATGCTAAACAATTTTAGATAATATAAAGATAAAATTGTCGAAGTAACTAAACACCATACCGAAAATTGCGTTCTAGAGATGCTGCGAGGATTGAAGAAAGCACGGACACAGTTGTATTATATCTGAGGGGAATACTTTGAGGAGGCAATAGTGTAGATCAATGAATAAACAAAGATTTTTTTGAGAAAATCTTTTAAAGGTAAATTTCTTTTTAAAGTTTTTTTCCACCCCTTATAGTTAAAAAAAAGGAAGGGATTTGTTATGAAACCTAATACAACATAATAAATTGATAAGAAATATTATCGATGAATATAATTATAAGATTATGCTTACCCTGGTAACTATCACCATGATGACGGCGGCATGTGGTCACCGGATCGACCTGAAACAATAGATTTATTTATAATGCAAATATTCATTTTCAAATTACCAAATATTTTCGTAAGCCCATCACTACACTAGCTTTGGCTTGAGGTAAACTTAAAAGAAACTTAATGACTTATAAGATTTGTTTTATCCTAACCTACCTAAGTGGAGTAAAGATCTAGCATAGGTACTCCAAGCGTTGAGATGGGTACAGCACGTCTTATTATTTCGTTAACAGATAAGGAGCCACCATACTTGTCAACGCGGAATCGCCTGGAGGCGATCATTTTTCACCTCACTTGTCGCATTAAAACGATTCACCGTCAACGCAGCCGTTCAGCCATCATCTCGGATCGGGATATGATAAATGTTGTATTTCCAAATTCGGAGTTGTTCGTTTGATTACGCGGCAATACTTCGACGCGTGGACATGGCCGTTCGAGTGTCGACGCCGCCGATCAATCGCCATCAGTTGAGTACGGACGCAATCGGAAATTCGCGGGAAACAAATTCGTTGCCGACGTGTGTCGCACGAACCGATGCGATGCTTTTTCTCTCTTGTTACAAGAACATAAATTTCTGTCTGGCTTAATGGGATTCCGTGATGAGGGTGGCGACTCCCTTAATTAACGAAATCGTAAACGGACTTATTTGTTTATACTATGTAGTTGTCAGTATGCACTAGTATATGTTCCACATGCGATTTTTAATCTGTATATGTATTGTTTCTACCGTGTGTAATTTGAATACTAGTACGTTGCATCACTGGTCAAGTGTTATAATCGTAGATGTTCAGTTATAACAATGGCGTAGTATAGTAAAATTAGTAGTAAACCAACTTTGTGATTTCCATATCAATCAATTATACTGCTTAGTGGAGTCTCAATGGAATTGCAGTGATCAATGGTTTTAAGAAAGTTAGCATACTTGGAGCCCTGTTGTCATGGAATTTTGCATACTACGTAGTATGCAAATATAGTGAGTGAATATTTATTTGTAATCTGTTAATAAAGTAACGATTAAAAAACAATAAATCGTGTATAATATTAATAAAATATTTAATTTCGGACACAATCCATAGCTTGTTAGTATTACAACTTATAATAGAATGTTAGTATTTTATAAGTACAGTGGCGGTAAACATCGTGTTATCGCTGGAATAAGTGAAGCTGCATCTAGCGGCGTGGTCAAGATTCGGTTGGTGCTGGCGAGGAGACGGATGAGCGCGGAGGCACACCATTTCCTCATTATAGCGTAAAAGTCATCCGTGCGCGCCTCCGCGAACATTCCTGACGCACTACGACGCCACGGCAGCCCCATCAGAAACCTGAAGGCGTTATTATTCCGGACACGTAGGTCACTATAAATCCGCTACGTATACTTGACCCATAGGTTGCATGTATAAAAGAATGTGCAGTAAGCTTTGAAAAGTACTTTTCACAGCTTTAGAACATCGTGCGAACCTACGGACCAACATGTTGCTACGGACAGCCTGCAACTTTCGTTCCCTCATAATGGCGCTAACAACCGGCTAAACTAAAAATCGACGTTACACAATTTTAAATTTAAATTTGTGATTAATAATTATAAAGTTAGATAATAGATGATTATGATCGTAAGATTATAATATAATATAACGGTTAGTTGGAAGAAATCCCTTTATGGGATGAGCTCGCCTTCGTACCTAATATTTTAAATTGTTTTTCTAAAGTTTGTAATTTACTTTATTGTACGGACAACGGCACATCAGACTACACATTTTTGTTCGAAAATCGCCTCCAGTGCAACGGAACCAGATACGTCAATGTATAGCTTGATGTGCTGGCGTGTGTACAATAAAGTGTTTAAATAAATAATTAAATAAGATTTGCAAATCGTAAGCATAATGAGAAGCGCTATTTCTCTATAACACCCAATGCTATTATTGCATACTTGCTACTTCACACGCCACGATATATCAAAGGATAACAACAACAAGTAGTGGTTCGCTATTGAGTTATATGCGTAAAAATAATGTATTACAATCTCTGTTATTGTAATAATGACCACCTCTATTTAATTGTAATAAAACGTAAATTTTCTGTGCCTTGAATGGTAGTTAAAATAGAGTCATCTTTATTTTAATGTTTTTTTTTTTGTAATATCAAGCGACGAGACGAACAAGTCGTGCGCCTGATAGTAAGCTACACGTCTATCCATAACAGTTGCAGTGCCACTCAGAACTTTAAATCGCAAATATCTGAGGGGTACTGCCACTGCGCTCGTCACCCTGAGACATAAGTTGACAAAGTCCCATGTGCTTGTAATTTCACCAGCACCCTTACTCTACAAAACCGGAACACAGTAATGCTGAACTTACTGCTTGGCGGCAGAAATAGGTAAGGTGGCAGTACTACCTTTGACGAACTCTTTCACAAGGCGCTCTACTGCTACAAAATTTGCTTAAAAATAATGCATTACACTCTCTGGTATTGTAATAACGACCACCTCTACTTAATTGTAATAAAGTCATAAATCTGCCGTGTCTTGAATGGAAGTAAAATAGAGTCGTCTCTATTTTAACGTATCCAATAAATAAATGCAACTGGGATCGGTACAAACATTTGACTAATTGTTGTTTAGAATAAAGATGAACCATCATTACCTCTAGGCTGTGGGTCAATAATGCTTTCATAACATGCAATCGTCGGCAATTCGTCAAAGTATCGTAATCCCTGTCTTGAGTTTCCTTTCTATGTAAACTAGATTTACATATAGCATGTACATGCAATAACGCTAATGTCGATAGTTCGAATTCTTATTAATGGCCTTTATAAAAAATAAACTTAATGTTTTAATTTGTTTACAAAGTAATCGTGTAAACAACTTAAAACATTTTTGTAAACTTTATCAGCAACACTTTTAGTTAGTAATAGATTATTAATAGGCACAAATTACTTAAATATCATATAATGCTTTTTATGTTAGTAAATTGAACGTATGTATTGTGTGGATACAGTTCGCTTTATGACGAACCTAAAAATGCTACTTGGAACATTCAACAACATTATATTTTATATGGTAAATAAGCTGCCTGCATCAAATTTAACCCGGCCAATTTGAATTGGATGCCGCGCCCCAGAGGCAACCGAGAGAAGTGGCAGAAGGTGGCCTACACCGATATGATTGAGGATGGCTAGAAAGAAGAAGAGGAAGGTGGTATGTAAATTTAGAAAAAGTCCATGCGTTAAGAATTCCATTATGTTCGAAAATCCATGTAAATACACACTTCTCAGGAATATTTCGTACTTTCTTTATAAAACAATAAAGTGTAAGTATATTTTTACACATTAATGTTAAGTAGTACTTTTCCCTCAGCAGCATGCGCATGCCCAGCTGTTTCGCAAACCATTGTTGTATTTTATTAGGGCATTGTTTCGCCGCGCGCGCCGCAGCGCAGGTGAGCGGCCAGATGAAGGTCGCATTTGGTTTTTCAAAACAAGTCCCACACATTGTGAGATTAATCTGCTATTTCGATTAGACAGTTAGTATTATAACTATATACTTACATTCCAACACCGTATTGATTATCTATTCTGAATTACTTCATTTTTACAGGCTCACCATTGGGCCAGTAGGCCTAGTACGATAGGCCGCGACTAGCGCGAAAGCGACAAAGAGCGAGATACTGCTATTCTCGCATAGAGAATAACAATAACAACTCTCGCGCAAGTCGCGCCCTGTCGCGCTTGCTCTACTAGCAGAGTGATCAGCTCGTAGTGCTACTGATCTGTGACCACTGTGACATAATGTTGAGTTAGACACTTTTTGCTGATACAGTATACTCAATTCTACACCCAAAACAAAATAACACTCCAAACCAAGACTAGCTTTTTTATCTCTACCATTTGTATCATCATTTTTTCGTAGGTTCTTCTGAATAATGGCGATAATGAGAGTGGAAATGCTTCGATAAAAGAACATATAAGGTTGTTTTTAGACTAGCCTGGTTTTTATAGATTTATGCCGTAGAATCCGAAATGTTGAAATGAATGAACTTCGACTGAACAAAGAACGTAAACGCACTGATAGATTGCGATCTAGCAACACTGGCGAAATGGTATCGTAGTTCCGTACGTTTTGATGTGAGGTAGGCGCGGAGAAATTCATTGCACAATGTTATTTAAGCATTCGACTTTTAGGAATAAAATATACTCTCTGGCCATTGTGCATCATTTCTGTTCCCTTTATTTATCACATTTATTAAATAATAACATTTTTTTAAATATTTTTCTCATCGTACACAAAAGGCAACTCCAATGCATTCATTTTACATTCTGGCAACACTATGTCCCCTCTCACCCGCCCATCGCTAGTTCAAAAACAGACTTCACGAGTTTAAAAATTTGAGGCAACCAGTGTACGCGAGTGATATTTAAAATACCTACTACTACTACTAATATTCTCTCTTTCAATACTAATATAACCCGCTTAAAATCATATTTGCAATCCAAAAAGTGTAGACATTGTAGTGAGTCAAAAACAAAACTGTGCCACTAAAATCAACTCTTGCTGGAAGTACAAGGTAATTCCTGCCCCCTCCACTCTCTTACTCTAAAATAAGCTCATAGTCCCTTGACGTATTGATTACGGAACATGAAAGAAAAAATTTAATTGAAATATTTCTAATAACAAACTCATTTTTTCGTTGAACGTAGAGAAAAATGAAAATTTTTTCGGAGTGATTTTCAGTGAGCTAAGTCAATCGTGTTTCGGGCCCCATAACACATGAGTTTTTTCTTTACTCATGTGTCCATAATTCACTACCGGTATCTTCTGTTTTCACTATCAATTAATAAAACAAATTGAATTCCTATTTTTACCGGTTACCCTGTACTGTGGTCGAAATACGACAAAACGTCTGTTTTGGCTTACACTTCACGATATCAGCGACGCCGACGCCACGCTATTTGATATTTCACATTGCTACTATTTGTACGTTTTGTTCGATTCAAAACATCCTACAAGTCCTGCAAC